TAAAAAAAAAAAAAAAGAACACACCATGAGGGAATAGTGACCATCAGTGGACTGGGGAGCACAGGGGCTCTGGAGACCAAGTGTGCAAAGGAATTTCATTCTCACTAGAAAGGAAAAAATGAACATCTATCCGTAGGGTGGTTGTGAGGATTAAATGACAGTGCAAAGGAAAGAGGCTGTCCTCGCATATCCCCAAATAACTTCACGCTCACATGGACATGGTAACTGTAGCAGGGCAGAAAGCAAAGCGAGAACTTGCCGTACATTCAACACCTCTGTTTCAAGCCTAGCCAATGACCACACCAAGTTATTTCAGCTCCCAAAGCTATACTTTACTCATCTTCAAAACGGAGGTGTTGCTTTTCTCTAGCCCTTTTGGTGAATCTGAGAATTTCCCACGGGCTCCTCGCCCATACACCAGCTGCCTGATCACATCGCCTTTCTACTTCTCTCTGTATAATTCATGCAAAACTTACTGTTTATAAGTCTATGTTTGTTCACAGTGGCAATGAAATACAAATTGAATTGAACAAATTATTTCATGAGAACAGACTTGAAACTAAGACTGTCATATTGGCTTTTTGGTATCTTTCCAGGTAAATAAATACCTGTGAGATGTGAGGGAAACTCACTTTGTCAGATGTGTTGCTAGTCTGCAGATTAGAGTACTAACCAGATATGAGCTAACTTGACTTAAACATATGTGTACAACTAGGTCATGTGGAATTAGTAGGTCATCCAGAGTACTACCTTGACACTAATAACAAAAATTACTTAAGACACTTTTTCTCAGGAAGAAATATCTCTCTAAATATTTCATAATATCTTTAATAACAAATTTTAATTATTTCATGAAAAAGGCATAGTTTAAACTCACAAACTGTCAAAGATGAGTTCCAACTGACTATATTGCCCATATCGTCTCATGATATGAAAAAAAACCACACACACAATCCTAAAACAACAGATTATTTGACACCAATTAACTAAAAAAAGTTATTGATCTTTCAAGGAAACAAGAAGCCTTCCTGTCTTCATGGCAATGCCTGTGCTTGGCAACATGTTTTAGGGATGGACTGTCAAACTGTGTGTGTGAGAGAGAGACTGAGAGGCAGAGAGAGCTTTATACATTATATCATTGTATGTGAGGAGGTAAAACCTTATAAGGAGCAAAGACAACAAGAAGATGACAAGGTTCTATGACCTTGTATCTGACCAAACACCTGGTGACACATCTTGGAAATCCAGTACCTTCTTCTCTTCCTATCTCACAATCACACATGTGAACATGAAACCAGTAAACAAAGCAATGGAGAGAGAAAAGAGTTAACTGGACTATGAGCTATTCAATAATAGAACTCAATTTTCCCCAGACTATCTCATCATCTTTTTCCTTTTAAATAACATTTTGAAGTGGAACACAGAATCTGTGTGGGAGACTATAGAGAGATCTTGCTGTGTAGCTGGCACTGTGACATGTGTAAAAATAGAGTACACTATAAGAAGTGGGAGTGGCAGTAATTTCATTCAAACGGTTCACTTAAAGTTTCCTTTCACCTTTTTGTGAGTTGCATTTGCTGTGCAATGCTATGAAGTATGCTTGTGGCATCATACTGGCTGAGACCTTTAAGAGCAGTGCTTTCACCAGAGTCCATGGAAAAACTAGTCCAACCTACCACAAACAAGAAATAGGAGGGTGGTGTAACCACCTGCACAGGATGCAATCAGCAGAATTTCATAATGCAGGGAATTCTGCAGCCTCTCAAAGTGTCGTTCACAGATCAGCCACATGGGCATCACCTGGGCATGTGTTAGCATGTAGACTGCCAGGTCCACTTCACACCTGGTACATTAGGATCGTTAATAAGATTCTGGGTGAGTCACATCTATGTTTAAGAAGCAATGTTCTACAGACAAAACACACACACACACAAATCAAAATAAACACAAAAACAAAACACAGAAACAGAGAGAAAGATGCATAGAAGGGGAGCATTTAAACAGACTTTGGCAATATATCCACCAAATGCAATGTACACATCCTGCTGGAATAACAGCACCTGCTGTGACTGGCTCACAGCATTGTCAGGTTCGAACTCAAGAATGGATATGAAAGTGATCAGTAAGTCATAAAGCATCAGAAAATGTTATTTGCATCCTTTTTTCTTTCTAAAACAAAGAGGCAATTTTGAAACCAAGCCATAAGATAACAATTTCCCTACTCATAAAAACTGGTCAAGCTGTTTTTCAGGACACAGGGTCAAGACCCTAGGACCTGACCTAAAATGACCTTGTTAGCCTTGCAGAACCAAAGATTTCCAAGGAACAGAAGCTGAGGAATGCAAACAGGGCCTCATAGGCCTAGATTAAAGAAAGGGGTGCTGGCAACAGTTCTGAATTATCCACAAGTTGGACCTAGTTCAGCTTACAGGGTACAGATATCCCACTTAGGGCTCCTAGTGATAAACAGCCTTCTCTTTCCCCTTATTCCAGCTGCTTACCTTTTTCTTTTAATGGGGACTAGATAGGAGACAGACTTGAGCTTGTCTCTTGTTTCCTTGTTAGTTGCCCTTCAATAAACGAATCTCCGCACCACCGCCCCCCCTCCCCGCCCCGCCCCACCCCGCCAAAACCCAGAGGCACAGTATTGGCTCCTATGCTTGCTGGGCAATGAGTGGTTATCAATCTGGCCTTACAAGCATGAGCTCTACAATCAGACAGGATTCCTAGATTTGTATCCCAGCACCCACACTGTGGAACTGAAATGAATGCATAGCATTTCCTATTTCTTCATCTGAAAAGTAAAGTAATAGCTACTGGGGTGGCCTGGGTGACTGAAGACTGCCCTCTCATGAGCCCCTTCCTGCCCAGCAGGAAGACTCAACAACATACCCCCGGTGTAGAGATTCTGGCCCGGGAACGTGAGCAGTGGCGCACACCACCCCAGAGCCAGAGTTCTAAGTGTCTTGGATTCGTGTGCTATTGCTGTCTTCCCTCAGCCACAACAATGGCAACAGTCCTGAGGACTGCTCCTTTGGCCAGGTCCTGGAGTGGGAAGACACACTCTACGCTTAACACCTTCAAAACAATAGCCATGGAACAAATGCAATCATTTCCAAGCTCTCAATGTGTGCTGTCCTCACAGTCCTCTTTAGGTTTGTACAGAACACATTTCTATGACTAGACTTTGCCTTGGAAGCCTACTTCTGAAGAAGTTAAAAACATACTATTATGGCGTATTGCCTATTTTGAGTTGAAGGCACTTAAAAAACAGGTAGAAGACTATTACTCTGACCTTCCTTCTATTTCTTACAATGAATGAAATGAAATGAAATTCCCAGGTGCCCTCCCTGTACTAAAAGGAAAACAGCATTCTTACCAAGAACAGGAAGGTGAGTCAGAATTCTGTGCCATCTTTATTTAAAAAAAGATAAATATCCTTATTTAACTCTTTCAACATAACTTGGTTGCTTTTCCGTTACTCCCCATCTTTGTCCAATTCAGTACATTTAAATGTTTGACCCTGTTTCTTTGGGTCTTCATTTTCTTATGATGGTTCCATGCCATGTAAAACTTGTATTAAATGTGTATGCTTTTTCTCCTGTTAATTTATCTTATGTCAATTTAATTCTCAGGCCCAGCCAAAAGAAAAGCCTAAAAGGAACGAGGTAACATTTTGCCTCTTTTGCATGACAATTATATGGCCTTATAAATCCCAACCTCCCCTGACAATGTAATACTTAATATTTAAAATTGTCAGTACAAGGCTAGGCACTGCTGGTTCACATCTGTCTACTTGGGAGCAGCTGAGATTGGGAGGATCTGGGTTCCAGGCCACACCAGGCAAAACAGTTTTTGAGACTCCATTTCAACAGAAAAAATGTGGACATGTTGGTGTGCACATGTCAATACAGCAACAGAGGGAGTTTAAAATAAAAAGATCACAGTCCAGGCCAGCCTGGGTTAAACACAAACAAACAAACAAGACCCATCTGCGAAATGACCAAAGCCAAAAGGGCTGGAGGCACTGCTCAAGTAATAGAATACCTGCCTCATAAGCGAGAAGCCCTAAGTTCAAACTCCAGTACTGCCAAGAGTTAAAAACCATACGGTTAGGGTTGTTGATTAGTGCTTGCATTTTTTTAAAAGTTGCTTTGGTTTAAAATGATGTAAATATGAAGATTTTAGTTTAGGCAATGAAAGATTTTGACTTCTGCAGCTTCATGTGAATTTGTTCAAGTTCTCACACTCACAATATTCAATGAATTTTAAGCATTGAATTCTTAAACTAATTTAGCTTCTCTCATTTTACTGTCTAATTTTCAACATCTGTGTCATTAGTGTTACCTAAAATGACTTGAAACAGTCAGACTAGCTAGCAGTCTTGGAAAACCTCTCTTGGTAGGTTTGTGAATGAGATACCTCACACAGGTGTTGAACATCATTTTCGGAATATCCCCTCACCCAATCACATTTTAACTCTTGGCACTCACACTGAGACAATCAACCAGCAGTAAAACATCTATCAACTGTTTTCCTATCATTTTTTAAGCAGTGTTGGAGTTTGAATCTAGGGTCCTGTGCTACTAGGCAGGTACTCTACCACTTGAACCATGACCTTAGCCTTTTGCTTTTAGTGTTTTTTTGAGATGAGGTCTCTCGCTTTTTTTGTTTGGGCTGGCTTTGGACTGCAAGCCTCCCACCTCAACCTCCTATGTAACTGGGATTAAGGTATAAACCCCAGGACCCAGCCTGAACTCTGTTATACTATTCCAGAAAACTAATATTGAAGGAAAGTATATAGCAAAACAAGTGAACAATTTTTGAACTGGAAGTAAGAGTTCTAAAGTTGGATTTTAGCTGATATATGTAATAGAGGGAAAAATGCTAGGAAACCAAATAGTTACTTTCAAAGTTATTTTTCTAATTACAATTGCCATTTGTCTCTTCCAGGGGCCCCTGCCAGACCGTGAAGGATTATCAGCCTTCATGTGACTTACGAAGAGAAGACAAGCTGGAGGAGCCCCGCAGAAACTGGTGAAAGCCATCTTCACCATCACTGGAGCTGGCAATGCTGTTCCTCATTTCCAGCATGGAGATCTGTGCACAAAGGCTGAGCTGATGCTCCAACTTTTTGGCCTTCTGCAAAGCAAAATTTAAAAATGTCTGAGATTTATGGGACTTGAATCATATAGTCCCTGTAAGTAGCATGTATTTTTCCTTGAACTAAGTTAGTACAAAAATAAAAATATCTGGTATACATCAAGTGCCTCAGAAATGAAAGTTATCACTTTTGTTATTAGCCATTTCCGTAAAGACATAATTAAAACTGTAATATGTTCAATAACATTTATAAATCTGAAATAACAAACACAATCTGGTTTTTGTTGTTGTTTTGTTGTTTTCAGTGCTGGGGCTAGAACCCAAGGCTTCATGCATGCCAGGCAGGTGCTCTAACACTGAGCTACATCCCTAGCTCTCACTTAACTTGATAAGCAGCCACTGAGACAATGACACAATCATACTCAGTGTTCTAGAGATCAGTACCTAACACAGAAACAATGTCTTGTAAGTTCTCATCCTTTTAGTTTCCTTATATCCAAAAGTGAGAAATTAAGATCAAATTAGAAACTGCTGAAGACCTATGCAGCTCTGAAAGTCCTCCCTCTTCCTATCACCCACGGGTATCCTGGAAGGGGTCTGACCAGGGAGATGTGCAAACCTAGAAGCCACCAAGGCTAATCTGCCAAATTCCTGTTTGTCAGGCAGCTTTTGTCTGCTGCCTTCCCTGGCCTACTTCACCCCTAATCCTCTCACCACACTCCCCTTACCATCCTCCTTAGAAATTGCTTAAAAGACTCTTGAAGTAGACAGTACCTTGTACCCATAAATGCCGGTCCTTTATAGACCCCTAAAAGATTTACAGATTTATTAAATCCTTGATACTTATAGACCCCTAAGTAGTGGCAAATATAACAACTTCAGAATAGTTCCTCATTCTCAAGAAATGATTCACTGTAGAATCTCTGCATTTTAAGTATCCCCTCTGCATTTAACACATGTCTACTTAATGGAAACTCAGGAAAACACATTGGGGAAAGTGAAGTAAACTCACTATGCATATTAACTTTGTAAAAATTCAGGTAAGTACTTACTTTATCATTTAAGGTGGGATCATTCAATGAGTAGAGCTTATTGGTAATGTCTTTTCCTATAAGATACCTAAATATTTCATACAGGAAAGGCTCTGATTCCAAAAAGTAAGTTAATCTCTCTCTTGACCAACATAAAAATCTGCAGTTGTCATCTGCAACAATGGTGACCTGTCAGAAAAACAAATATACAAAGAAAAAAGTACATTTACACACGTGTATTATGACCGAAGTAACTTGGGAGAAATACAGAATGTTTAGCAGACATTATCATAGCAACGATTTGTCAAATTAGCTGAAAAGCCAATGTGCACAAGCTTCTATAACTATATATAAAATTATATTAAAAGCAAGCAATCTGTAGACTAAGCACAAGCAAATCCTCTGAGTTTTGTTTATGAAGTCTGGGTATAGAAGAATGGCCACTGTGTCAATATCATTGCTGTAGAGTGTGCTAGGCAGATGTTTCAATTGGATATATAATTTATGGTTAAACATTTCTTTACACTCTGTTAATTACAATGAGGTTTAAGAACAGAGCTTCAAGAGATGCCAGTGCCCAGACGAATTGGGAAGACACGGACCACAAGGTGAGCTAAGTGGCATGTGGTACTCCCACAGACAACCCAGGGCCAGATCAGCATAGCCCCCTGCACAGACAGACCCCCACCCAGGGAAAAAAGAGAAACTGAGTAATAAGCAATAACAACAATAAAGACATGTAGCAAAGACAGTGGGGTGCCCTGAGCGCTGAAGAGGGGGGGAGGAGAAATCCTTCCCAGAACTATAAATAAACAAGCTGTGCCGGAGAAGGCAGGAGCAGCGGCACATGCCCAGCAACCAGGAGTGGGAAAGCTTGTAAAAGTGGCAGTGGGAGGAAAACTCCACAGGAGAGGGGGAAAGACCCACTTCCCACGTGAGCTATAAATAAACACACTGGCCTGAGAAAGCGGGTGCAGTGTCACCTCCCCCAGTGTGCTTGGAAAGGGGAAAGCTTGTAGCAGCAGCTCGAGCACAGGAGAACTCTGCATAAACAAAGCCTGCAGGGCCAGGTGAGTGCTAAGATCACCCCTGAGATCTGAATAAATTAAACCTCCAGCAACAGCAGGGTGACAGCAGTGGGCAGGCAAGCCACAGCCACAGATAGCCATTCACAGACCTGTCTCCAGACTCTTTTCTTTTTTTCTCTCTCCCTACCTTTGATGAGAAAACAACCGAACTACACCTGCATGCTGAAAAACTTACTGAAACTGTATTGCATTTGAACTTGGGATACTTTGTGGGATTTTTTTTGTTTTGTGTGCTTTTGTTTTATTTTATTTTTCCCCTTTGATGAGACAACTACAGAACATCATCTGAGCCACCATCTCTAGGACTGGAAGCTGAGGGACGAACACCAAAATTATTAAGACTGAAACTTATTTGCATTTGAACTTGGAGATTTTTTTTTCTATACATATATTTTTCATTTATTTATTTTTTTATTAGTTTTATTTATTTTTATTTTCAATCCTCTCTCTGTCTCTCTAATGCCTTTTCAGCTTATAGTTGATTAGTACACTGTCTCTCCCTGTTTACATCTTTCAAACATTTTTTGTTTGTTTGTTTTGTTTTTTTCTAGTTTGTTTTTCCCTTTTCCTTTAACTTCTTTGCTGTCCATCTCCTCTCACCCTTCCATTCTAAATATGACTAGTGCTATTATTACAAGCCAGAAAATACTTAATTGCACACAGTACAGGGACAGTAACAACACCAAAGACAATGACGGGAAGACAGAAAAAACAGGGAAACCAGTTTCCCCATAGCAAAAAAATTAGTACAGGAACCTGAGGGAAATGAAGAAAACAGATACTCAAACCTAGACTCCAGCAAAATGAAGATAAACTATGCCAAAGAACCCAATGAAGCCCACAAGAATAATGTAAAAGAAGAAATACTACAGGTACTCAATGAGAATTTTATAGAGAGATACTGGATATGGTCAACCAAAATGTACAGGAGACACTCAAGAAATACCAAGACAACAAAAATAGAGAATTTGAAAAAGCACAAGAAGAAATAAAGGAAACCATAGAAGCACTGTATAAACACCAAAGTGAAAGAGAGAACACAATGAATAAACAGATAAATGAACTCAGGACAAAAATAGACAACATTAAAGAGGAAATGACCCAGGATATGGAAAACCTCAGAAAAAAGAACAAAACAGAGTTGCAAAACAAAACAGAAGGCCAATCCAGCAGAACAGAACAAATAGAAGACAGAATCTCAGAACTTGAAGATGAAATGGCAATTAAAGGAAAAACTGAAGAACTATTAGTTAAACAACTCAACCTGTGAAAAGAAAATGCAAGGACGCACCGACTCCATCAAAAGACCAAACCTGAGAATCATGGGCATCAAAGAAGGAGAAGAGGTGCAAGCAAAGGGAATGCGTAATATATTCAACAAAATAATAACAGAAAATTTCCCAAATCTAGAGAAATCTATTCCCATACAGATGCAAGAAGCCTCCAGAATAGCAAACAGACCAGATCAAAATAGAACTACCCCATGACATATCATCATTAAAACAACAAGTTCAGAAACTAGGGAAAGAATATTGAATGCTGTAAGAGAGAAAAAACAAATAACATACAAAGGTAAACCCATCAAAATCACAGCAGACTTCTCAACAGAAACATTAAAAGCAAGAAGAGCTTGGGGTGAGATTTTCCTAGCACTAAATGAAAATAACTACAATCCCAGGATACTCTACCCAGCAAAACTATCATTCAAAATAGATGGAGCAATAAAAGTCTTCCATGATAAGCAGAAACTAAAACAATATGTGACCACAAAGCCACCACTACAAAAGATTCTTCAAGGGATTCTGTACACAGAAAGTGAAACCCAACATAACCATGAAAGGACAGGCAGCACCAAACTACAGGAAAAGAAAAAACAAGAAAGTAGAATGTAACCTCAGCTTAGGTTCACACAATCAAACCTTCAAACAACTAAGACAACTAAATGACAGGAATCACCACATACCTATCAGTACTAAAACTTAATGTTAATGGACTTAAATCAGTCATCAAAAGGCACCATTTGATGAACTGGATTAAAACGGAAGATCTAACAATTTGTTGCTTACAGGAGACCCATCTCACTGACAGAAATAAGCATAGGCTTAGGATGAAAGGCTGGAAGAAGATTTACCAAGCCAATGGCCCCCCGAAAACAGGCAGGAGTAGCAATACTTATCTCTGACAAAGTAGACTTCAAACCTACATTGATCAAATGAGATAAAGAAGCACATTCCATACTAATAAAAGGGGAAATAGACCAAAAGGAAATAATAATCATCAACCTGTATGCACCCAATGTCAATGCACCCAATTTCAAAAACACCTAAAAGCAGATATGAATGCCAACACAGTGGTTGTGGGAGACTTTAACACCCCATTATCATCTAGATAGGCCATCCAAACAAAAAAATCAATAAAGAAATTCAATATCTAAAATATACAATAGATCAAATGGACCTACTTGATGTCTATGGAACATTTCATCCAACTTCTACACAATATACATTCTTCTCAGCAGCCCATGGAACCTTCTCCAAAATAGATCATATCCTAGGGCACAAAGCAAGCCTCAGCAAATATAGGAAAATAGAAATTATACCATGCATACTATCTGATCACAATGCAATAAAACTAGAACTCAACAACATGCAAACAGCTGGAAACTGAATAACTCATTACTTAATGAACAATGGGTCATTGATGAAATAAAAGAGGAAATTAAAAAGTTCCTGGAAGTCAATGAAAATGAAAACACAACCTACCAGAACCTATGGGACACAGCAAAGGCAGTCCTGAGAGGAAAGTTTATAGCCATGAGTGCATATATTAAAAAGACTGAAAGATCCCAAATCAATGACCTAATGATACATCTCAAACTCCTAGAAAAACAAGAACAAGCAAATCCCAAAACAAATAGAAGGAGAGAAATAATAAAAATAAGAGCTGAAATCAATGAAATAGAAACCAAAAACACCATATAAAAAATTAATGAAACAAAAAGTTGGTTCTCTGAAAAAATAAACAAGATCAACAGACCCTGGCAAACCTGACTAAAATGAGGAGAGAAAAAACCCAAATTAGTAGAATCAGGAATGCAAAAGGGGAGATAACAACAAACACCATGGAAGTCCAGGAAATCATCAGAGACTACTTTGAGAACCTATATTCAAATAAATTTGAAAATTTAAAGAAATGGACAGATTTCTAGATACATATGATCATCCAAAACTGAACCAAGAGGAAATTAATCACCTGAATAGATCTATAACACAAAATGAAATTGAAGCAGCAATCAAGAGTCTCCCCAAAAAGAAAAGTCCAGGACCTGATGGATTCTCTGCTGAATTCTATCAGACCTTTAAAGAAGAACTGATACCAACCCTCCTTAAACTGTTCCACGAAATAGAAAGGGAAGGAAAACTGCCTAACACATTTTATGAAGCCAGTATTACACTTATCCCAAAACCAGGCAAAGACACCTCCAAAAAGGAGAACTATAGGCCAATCTCCTTAATGAACATTGATGCAAAAATCCTCAAAAAATAATGGCAAACCGAATTCAACAACACATCAAAAAGATTATTCACCACGACCAAGTAGGCTTCATCCCAGGAATGCAGGGGTGGTTCAACATATGAAAATCAATAAACGTAATAAACCACATTAACAGAAGCAAAGACAAAAACCACTTGATCATCTCAATAGATGCAGAAAAAGCCTTTGATAAGATCCAACACCATTTCATGATAAAAGCTCTAAGAAAACTAGGAATAGAAGGAAAGTACCTCAACATTATAAAAGCTATATATGACAAACCTACAGCCAGCATTATACTTAATGGAAAAACTGAAACCATTCCCTCTAAAATCAGGAACTAGACAAGGATGCCCACTATCTCCACTCCTATTCAACATAGTACTGGAATTCCTAGCCAGAGCAATTAGGCAAGAAAAGGAATAAAAGGAATACAAATAGGTAAAGAAACTGTCAAAATATCCCTATTTGTAGATGATATGTTCCTATACCTTAAAGACCCAAAAAACTCTACTCAGAAGCTCTAGACACATCAATAGCTATAGCAAGGTAGCAGGATATAAAATC